AGTGCCACGCATAGTGCTGCTGTTCACAAAGGGTTTGCAGAGCTGCAGATGGGGAATACCAATAAAATCTGCACATTTATTACGTTCAGTAATTAAATTTACCGTGGTGTTTTGCTCCATTTTTTTTATTCAGTGTATTCAGCAACTGTCTGTATTTTAATGGCTTCTACTATGTCAGAGTATAAATGTCTACTTTAGTCATTTCTCTGCTAGTGCTCAGGGACGAAATACCTCAGTGGTGTGCAGGGGCAGCTTCAGGCACCCCATAGGGGTTATGCACTGTACAGAGTTTAGAGCAGTGTTCCCTCTTGCTTATAGGAGTGTGCTGTTGCAAACAGAAGTGCTAGCCTGGTGGCATCCGTGCTGTGAAAGAAGAAAAAGAAGGGCTTGGATAGGGTAGCTTAAAATAACCACAAACCTGTCTTAGCTTCTGTGGCAAAGTCAGGCTGTGGAAGGGTCACGTGTGGCGTGAAGTCAGGTTTCGTTCTGCTAAATTCCTGGGTAGAGCAACAGAGTGCAAAGTTAATAGTATTTTATTTTAATTTTATTGCCAAATGCACAGAACTGCATTAAAAACAATAGAATCACAGTGTAGAACAAGTGATGCTAAATGTAGCTGCTGTTGAACCTGCCAGTTAGTGATATCAAAAGATCTGTGCTTTGCAGTGGTTTGGACATGGTCATTGAGCTCTATAGTCTGTATTTTTGATTTGAAATCATTGGATGCATATTTTCATTGATGTGTCTACTCATTCTTTAGACATATTTTCTTCTGGTGCTCTTGAAATTCAGTAATGCAGCTCTGAGGCTAAATAAATGTGCTTTTTCAAAAAATACGGGCTCTGTAATTGCAGTTTAATAATATTTATTTACTGCTTCCATGTTATTTATGAAACTGTCTATTTTGTTGCATTAGTTACAGTTCTAGTTACCTACAGAACTGCACTTCAGTAATCCTCTACCCAGGCAGCCCACTTATGAAAACACAAAATCAACAAAAAAGCTCCCATTGAACAAGCCACCTATGTAGAAGGTTGCAATGTAGAATAATGATGTAGAATAGCTTCATGACATAACCGTGAAGAGCTGAAAAGTATTTCAGAACTTGGATGCGTGTTTTCAAATGAAAAGTTGGGCTCTGAAAGCATTCATGACAAAGTTCAGCATCCAGAGTTAGTGCATGAAGAGGGATTTGATTATGGGGAAGTTTCAACTTTATGAAATGAAAGACTAAGGAAATAAAAATATGATAAAAAAGGAACTGGTCAGAAATGGATGGCAGAACATAAATATTAAAAAATCAAAAGAATGTGTATGAATTAAAACTACAAAGGGTGTTCAGTATCTTACTGAACTGGGGGAAAAAAAAAAGGCAGTGGCTAACAGTGATGTTTTGTGCTCCCTGGACCTCGGAGTCTCACTGTGGAGTGGCAGTAATCATCCATATACTTGGTTAGGCCAAGTGTTTGTGCTCGGCCTTCATTCCAACAGATTGCCAATAGGAATGAAAATATTTAGGAAAAAAATTCCCTGATCAAAAGTGTGGTCTGTCCTCAGATGCCTGTAATTCAGATGGACTGCACTGGGAATGTACACGAGGCATTGGGATCTTTATTTATTGTGCTTTAAGTATTGGCTTTTGTGTTTTTAGTGTGTGTGGTTGTGCATCTATAGATAGTATTTACATTTCTGCCAAGCGGGCTTTGGGGAAAGCACAAAGGGAAGCGGGTTGTGTTCTGGGGACATCAGTTAGTGACCTTAAGGAAAAAAGGAGTTTAATGTGAAATGAGCTGCTTTAAAACAATATGGTTACCTCTCTATTTCAGTGATGGGTGAAACTAAGTTGTGCCTTGTGTGTTTCCATGGATGTGCCCCGTGGTCAGATCGCCAGCATACTGACCTACGTGGGTTGGAACTGCCTTGACTTTCTGATTTGATGAATTAGAAAGCACAGCATTGTAGTGAAAGTTAATACAAATAAAAATAGAAGAAGAATAAATAAAGAAAATGAAAGCAGCCAGATATAGCCAAGCCTTTGATCATAGATTACAAAGATCTTTCATTGCATAAAAGTGTAATGATGTCTTTGAAGAGTTTGTAACGCAAAAGTTCATGTACATCACAAAGCATAAAGGGTAGGGGAGGGTAAAGGGTTAAGAAAGCAGAAGATAAGACTTTGTACATAGTTAATGAAAAATATCATTCATTGCAGTGAAGACTTTGATTCTTTATTTTACTGTATGTTGGCTTAGCACAGCGTGAGGATTTTAAAGACGTAAAGGAGAACAAAGGCACAAATCCACTATGTGTGTATCACAGAGTATGAGGAAATAGGGTAACTGTTTCCAAAGGGAGAAACAGCCAAGAAGAACCTGTTAAAACACAAGATGCCTGCAAAGTGAACTACAGACCAAACAGCTAAAATCTGATTGTGCTACAAGAAAGCAAATGACAGTGACAGTGATGGTTTCTGTTACAAGGCTGTTTTTTCTTTTTTTGTCCCCCATCAGAAAGCCAAAGGGGGGGCCATTCAGAGTACCATGACCAGCTGGTTTGGGCTGTCACCCCGAGTAGTGTTTGACTATGTGTCTGTCAGGAAGATAGGTGCTGGCAGAATGTGTGTTGGAGAGGGGGAGCTCGTGGTCCTTGTTTTTTAGGGCATGCCGAGGTGCTGCACTGTGGTGCAGTGTGAACTGGGCTACATTTTGGAACTGAGGTTGCATCCAGCCCCATTGCCCCCTTGGTACTGCTCCACGCACTGAGTTTTCCTTCTTCCCTCAGCACTGCACAGCAAGTTTCTAGACGTAGTTACCTAGCCTTGTTTTTCTTTCTGCTTCTGTTAGGACTGACAGAAGAACTAAAAAAAAAAAGTAGGTCTGCCTCCTGCTTTCATTAGTTCAGTATCCTGCAAACCCATTGCTTCGGTTGTCTTAAATGGTGTTGCATTTCAGAGGTCATGCTTGGATGATTGCTTAGCAGTGATAATGAGCTTCATGACCCTATGCTACGTGCTACCTGAGAAATATGTTCACTTTTCAGCTTTCTCACAGCAGGTATTTCCCTCTCTCTGGGGCTAACTTTGTTAAACAAGATTTGAAGAATTTTGTCTCCTGTTTAGTGCAACCTCTGACCTCTCAAGAGCTTTACTGTTCAAGTTTGCACTGGGCAATGTGAAAAACAGTTCTTTTTTTTTAATTATTATTATTTTTCAATCTATTGTTGTTGATAGGATCAATAGAATTGATGTAAAATTCTTGAAGAAGGTCACAGAGTCTATAAAGCACACATAAAGTGGGTTTCCCAAGACCCCTCTGATTGCCCGAGGTGTGAGGTGAGCCTCATTGCCAGCTCTGTTAGAATCTGGACATGCTCTCAGCCAGTGTTGAGCTGAGGCCTGGCCCAGATCACCAGCTTACACAAGGCTGGAGAGACTGCCATTGGGTTGTGTAAGATGGAGTCCATGTAAGTGGCTTTGCACCAGAGGACAGTTGAAGAAAAAGATGGCAGGGCAGTTTGCACAGGGTGTTCTGTCTGGTGGGTGCCCACAGCTAGCTGAATGCATCAGTGCGAGGGGTTTGTTTTTTGACCTGTCAGTGCAGGCTAGGATCTGACAGTCAGCTGGCTGCTCTCCGCTCTCTTTTTAGAGGATGCCTTACCTGGTTGTAGCTGTAAGTAAACACCAGGGGGCTTGAGCCTCCAGAATATGCAGCAGCCTTTATTACTCTCTTTTAATGTCTAGCACCTGGAAATGCAAGTCCATAGCGATGTAAGCTATTTTATATCACTGTTAGGAGTTTTGGGAATACGTATGGCTTAGCTGTAGACATTGAATTAAAGGAGTTGTGAAATGCCATCTGCCTGCTTGTGTTATGTTTTCTAAAACTGCAAACAGCTCATGCTCATTTCTTCTCGGGTTTATCTCTTTGTGGGTCTTTTTTTTTCTTCTTCTTCTTCCGGTAGCTTTTTGAACTCAGTTTTCATGCTTTTGCTTTCAGCTTTGGTCTTGGTTCTATCTAAAAGCAAACTTTAATTGTACGTGGACATGATACTGCCTTCTGTTTCATCCAGTGTACTTTAATGTACCCATTTTACCATATTCCATTTAAAAATCTATCCAAAAAGTGAGATGTATGAACGTAAATTAGTTTCCTGTGTACAGGATTTTTTGTAAGTTGATGCTGCACTGCATCAGCACATATGTTTTGTGAATTAGAAAGTATACTTCCTATGATCATCTCCCATCTGCTGCTACCTCTGATAAATTTAATGCTTGCTTCTGAATACTGAAACACCGAGGTGCTTTACTCTGGTATGTGCCTGACAAGCAGATCTTGTCTTATCTCAGAGGCTGACCCTCTTGCGGATGACTACCCATGAAATATGTAGGCATTAGGAAATTTGGTGAAGTCGAACAGACAAAAGGAAACATTACTTGTTTGGAAGAAAAAAAACCCACACACTTTTTCTGCTAGCCTGTGCAATAATATCTGTCCTGTATTAATTCATTCTGATGTGAATTTGTTAACAGCTTGTTAGGTAGGCAGATGATAAAGTTTACACTTAGCAAAGAGACCTTGCTTTTTCATTTGCCGTTAAATCACTGCAGAGCTGTTGCTTAGAACTGCAGAATCCAACGGCTGAGGGTAATCTGCTCCCTGCTAGCTTTATGACTGCCTGGCCCAGGGCAGGGAAGGACAAACATGCAAAGCCCCAGGGAGGAGATGGTCAGTGTGGCTCTGGGCTGGATGGTTGCTGCTTTTGTTGTGTTGGTGCATTACAGCTTTAGAATTGATTCCATTAGTCCATTCCCAATCTGCAGAAGCCAAGGTGCTTTCTTCAGTGTAAGGCAACTTCATCTTGCAACGTAAGTCAGATTTCTGTCTGCTTTTGGAAGGATAACTGGCTGATGCTTTGGGTTTGGGGTTATCTGAAGTCATGAAATCAAAAGTTGCAAGTATTTTACTGGTGGCAGGAGAGCAGCTCCAGTATTTCTTTCACAGGCACACAGAATGTTCTGGGGAGATTGGTGCTTCCATACTGGGCAATACTTCAGCCAAGAGCAGCAACTGTCCAGAAATGTTTCTGATGATCTATGATGACAGAGAATATCCACTGGTATTTTTTCATTCCTAAAAGCTGAGTAGTTCACTCCTACAAATGTGCTTATGGAACAGAAATGATGGTGTTCAGGACACAGCTGGATCAAGCATACGATTTCATTGTATCTCAATTTCTTTGCTTCTCCGTTGTCATGCACTTCCGCAATAATTTAATACCTTGTAGCTGATTGTAAAGTGATTGTGAAATACAACAAGCAGGTGGTTTTAATGGTGCTTTGCACTCATTTTCTCTCCTCATGTAGTTACAAATGAACACAGAGCACAAAGAGCTGAATCAGGGCCCCAAACGTTTTTTATTAGAGGAGCTTATTTTTAATATGTGCCAAAAGAAAAACAGTTTTTGCTGTTCATCATTTTATAGAGATTTTCCATGATGATGTACTACAAAGTGACTTAGGAAAGTTAAAGATCTTCTAAGACATCCAAATTGTTGTCCTCTAGCATCTGTTCTCCATAAAAGGCCATGCAAAAGTAAGTGCATCCACAGTGTTTACATTAGTCATTGATACAGAGGCCTGGAGAAATATGAATGAATTGTAATTACAATGAAAAAATATGAAGAAGGAAGTCATTTTTTTTTCTCCCAGATTGTTGTGCTTGATAAATGTGTATATCAGGTATGTGGCTAATTAGCATGACGGTACAGGGAATAAAAAGTTCCCTTTAATCTCTCAACTTTTATCTGGAAACCATCGAAGTTAGGAGATCCCTATGAAGATGCAAACGTGGGTCTGTCCATAACAATTTGACAAGAAATGTAAGCAGAAGTAGCAGAGAATGGTATAAATGTAGGTGCATTCCCCAGTCTTAAATAACTGAACAGAAAATTATTTTGGAAGTGCTAGTATTCAAATGCTAAAGGCTGAAAATATTGAATGTGCATTGTAAATCTGTATGAAAGGAAGAGAAACACAAGAAAAATTCCACCAAAAAAAAGAAAAAAAAAATCAAAGAAAGAAACAAAAAATCCTAGCCTGTCCTTTTCTGAAAGTAATGATAGCAGCTTAGGGAGAGTGTATATCTTCAGGGAAATTCAGATGATTTTTTAATTTAATTTTTCTTTAAAAAATGAAATCCCCTTAATAGGCTGATCTTTCTATGGGATGCAGTGGGAATAGAAGTCAAAGACCGTAACTCAAACAGCGTGGGAATGCACGTTATTGCCTTTCAGAAGATTTAGGCTGTTTCTTCTGTAGTTTCTGCTGATACAGCTCCCTGGTGCAGGTATGGTGTGTGCCACCAAGTGATTACCTGTTCATCGCATCCTTCATAGCGTAGTTCACACTGTTTGAAAAGATGGCTAAGAAATTTTCTTTTCATGTGGTTGTAACTGTGTCAGTGGTGTTGATAATGTGGTGGCTGTGCTTGTGGGTAAGTGTTTTTTCTCCATGAGATGTTAGAGGACGCCACTGTAGCAAAGGCTGAACCCTGGTTACCACTGGCAAGTCAACTGCAGTAAGTGTGTCTGTGATGGCCTTGTGGTTGTGTGTGTCTTACAAGATGCATCTACATAGTGTATTTGTTCCTCCAAAACAAGTGGGCAACTGAACAGTTCTAAATCAACTCAAAGGCACTGGACAGGTAGCCAGTTTTGTACGTACAAAGATCTGAACTGGATTTTGGATGCTCAGAAGTGCTGCTGAGCTCAAGATACAAAACATGTTTGGCTGGGCTCAAGTGGAGTGTTTCGTGTAAGGCTTTTTTAGTGTGTCCTATCAGAGAAAAAAGGTAACGTTGGGAAACCACGTGGATAATTCATTGTGGCTTCTTCTGTCTGGTGCAGACTCTAGAGGTGACTGCTTTGGTGAAAGGCCTGAGGGCTGGGAAGGGACAAATTTGATTGAAGGAGCTTAGCTTCACTCAGCATCTCTTGACTCAGAGGGTGCCATTGGTATCACCTTCTACCATCCCAAACAGGTCCTGTTTCACTCATTTCACTATTCCCTTTTCTTTTGCCCACCAGTAGAAGAAAAGTAAGCTGTGTTTTAGAGCTGGGAGGACTGGATGTTAATGCTAAGAAGTTCTTCAGCTCTTTTATGAGTTGGTTTTCAAATGGTGCAGTTCCTGCAACAGGCTTTAGAAAAACAACAGCAAAAACAAGGAAAAAAGGAGAAAAATGCTTTGATAATTTTACTGCAAAATGGATAGTTCATCTCTATAGAGAATAAAAGTGTCATTGATCTCTGTGATAAATTGTATCTCAGTATCTGAAAATATAGACCTTGTTTTTTTTCATTATAAGGATGACCTTGCTTCTATTGTAAATCAAAAGTAACCAGGGATTTGTGGCTCCTGTAAGAGCTGGGGGGGAGTGATGGGACAAATTACTCTGAATTTGTAGCCCTTTTTGGTGCTGAAGGAAGGTAAGGGCAGAGCTTCTCAGTTTCTTCAGGTTTATACCAGCATGGATTTCATTTCAGTTGGCTTAATGTGTATTGCCCACATAACAAAGTATGAGATGAAAGGAAAAGCGGAGTGAATGTGGGAGAACTTGGCCAGGATTGGGCAGAAAAGTAGCAGTTCTTCTTTAGATGGAAGAATTTCCATAAACTTTCTCCATCCAGCATTATACACCAGTTGTGTCCTGTTTGGTGACTGTTCCTTTTTGTTCATAGCATGAAGTGGAATGGTTCTGTTGATTTCCATGAAGACGAGACCAAATTTTTGCTTCCCTCAAACTCCAGTTGTCAATTTAAAGGATTTCCCACTCCTGTGACATAAGGTTGTCCTATAGGCATGCTCTTCACTCCTCATTCATCCAGTACTGCTGAACAAGGCAGGATCTTCTAATTGAAGTTTGTGTTTATATAATTAGAGGCGATATAATTATGCACAAGCACATGGGGGCGAATTAAGGTTGCACAGTCAATCTCAATTCTGGCATTTCTAATGTTGGAGTGCTTGACTTTGTATCTTTAACAGCGTGGAGAGAATGTTATTGCTGCTTCTCTCTCTACTATGTTAATTTTAAAAAGTTGGTTTTCTGTATTAAACACTGAAATAGTAATGGTTGGTAGGGAAGTTTTGTAGTATGTTTGCAAGACAATATTCACAGACTCGTAGGGGATGGGAAGGACCTCTGGAGATCATCTAGTCCAACCCTCTGCTAAAGCATGCTCCACAGGAAAGCATCCTGATGGGCTTTGGAATAGCTCTGCAAAATGTAGGCTCTGCAACCTCTCTGGGTAGTTTGTTCCAGTGCTGTGCCTTCCTCAAGGCAAAGAATTTTTTCCTCATCTTTGTACGGAGCTTTGTATCTTCCTGTTTGTGCGCATTTTCTCTTTTCTCTTGTTGGGCACTGCTGAAGAGAGCCTGGCCCCATCCATTTGACTCCTGCCCACCAGGTATGTACAAACACTGAGGTCCCCCCACTCAGTTTTCTATAGGCTGAACAGTCCCCACTCTCTCAGGTTCTCCATGTACAGGAGATGCTCTTCCCTCCCCTACCCAGCTGGTCATGACATCACAGGCTCTCAGTTTGGTCAAGCATGATTTCCCCTTTGTGAATCCATATTGACTACTCCTGATAACCTTTTATTCTGCTTTCTTGGAGGTGGCATCCAGAATAACCTGTTCCATCACCTTCTTAGGGATGGAGGTGAGTGATTGGCCTCCTCCTCCTTGCCCTTGTAAAGACTGGAGTGACACGGTCTCCATCATGCAGCATTGCCCAGCCCAGCCTGGAGGTGCTTTATTCCTTCTGCTTTGACTGTGTCCCATATTTGTAGGTTTGGACCTATAAAGCAGAATATCTAAAGAAAAACAGATGTGCTTGATATTCAACAGGCATCTTTATTTCTTTTTCAGTATGCTTCCAAGCTGAAAGATTGGGCTGTACCATGAATCTTTGCAAAGACCTCAGAGCAAAAACAAAATTTTATAGGGTTTGACTGCAGCAAGAATATTAAAAATGCTATTAAAGGCAAATGACAATGCAGGATAAAATACATTCCAGTCAGTAACTATTTACATAGAAGACTAAATCATTTTTCTTTGAGACCGATACAGTGTATCACACAATGAAAGGAATAACAGTTGAACAGGAAGCTCTTTCCTTGTCAGTCGGTGATGTAATCTGGGAAACAGGACCCGTTGCTCATCCTTTGATTGCATTTAAAAGAAGGGCAAAAGATTTTGCTTCAGGAGCTAGAGAGTCTGATGTTAATGCTAGTGCTGATGTTAATGAGGAGAACACAGGCCATAAGCTTCACGGCTTGAATGAGAATCTGGTAAGTCAGCTCTCTGCTGCTCTCATGTTTGTGAGATCCTTGACCCCTCTGCAATGATGTCAGTCCTTTTGTTCTGCTCTCAGTCAGGGTGAGTGCCTAGTGGTGTTGGGTGAATGGTTTTTGTTCAGGAGCATTGTTGATAGGCAGCCCCATCAGTGGAAAAGCCAAAGCTCTTTGGACCCGTTCTGACTGTGCATCCTAGGGGTGGGAGAGGTGTGCTGCATGACATCCAGCCTGGATATGGAAGTGGGGAACATTTAGGAGCTGGATGCAAAAGGAATGCCAGCAGACCAATAGTGTTCAAGTGATTAAAACGCTCCAGGAAAATAATTGCAATGCTTCTGTATCTTACACTTACGATGATAACATGTCAAAATAAGCTCTGATGAAAATTAATTTTTGGCTGAAGGAAAAACGTTTCAAAAGGTTTGTATTTAACTCTGTTTTTATATAGGGTTTGTTGTTGAATGGCAACAGTTCTTTTGGCTTTGAAATACTGGAAAGTTAGACAATTTATTTGAAAAATGTACCAAACACCCTGTGGTGGTTTTTGTATTTGTTTTTTCTTTCTAGGAAACGTGCCCCAGTGGGTGTTTTTGGATATTTATCTGTGTAAGATAATCAGCTAGTTATTGTAATTTTGGTTGACAGTTATGGCAGCTTCATAATAATAAGCTTTTA